TAATTCGCAAAAAATTAATTAGGCAACCAATTAAGTCAAATTTAATGTCTTGACCTACGTACCAACTACGAACCGTATCAGTCAGTTAGAAGTGCCTGCAAATAATCAAAATTATTTAATGAGCCTTTTGAATAATCTGTGATAATGCTCTCGGTTGTGTCCATCAGAGGCGTTACTATGGGAGGGAGGTAGTTGGAATCGCCCGGAGTGCTGATGTTAAGGGCGCCCAACGGGGGAGAAAAATAATTATAGAAATTATATTTAAGTGTTTTCTGCATCAATGGACACCAGCGAGTTGACAAGATTCTTTCCATAATGTTTATGATATGGAATAAAAACTTGCTTTTTAGATTTAGTCCGTAAAAAAAAAAAAAAAAAACTTAAGCCTAAAATTAATTTAGAAATTTTATATTTTTAGAATAAATGCTATAAAAGTTGCAAATCCAGAGAACTTGAAAATAATTTGTTGAGTATAATGCTACATTTCTATTTATTTTCATCAAGCCTAAGTTATAACCGAATGTTTCACTTTCGTAAGACAAATATTGATTGGCTGTACAGTAACTTAGTGATGGATAACTATTTGTTTACAAAACTTTGCAGATCAAGTTTTTAAATAACAATGCAAATTTAAAACCCCATGACCTAGTTTTCTATGTTTAGCTTACAATGTGTACAGTAAAACCTATGTCGGCCTATCCAATAGCCGGATGCCATTGTTTATGTCGCCATTACACGTGAAAACCAAATTGTTTTTGCTTTTTTTAAATTACTTTCTCGTATATACGTAGTATAGAGAAAGTATTGTAATCGTGCAAAAAAAAAATCGAGATTTTTACAAATTTCGACGTTTTACACCTCACTGATACGGAAAAACATAATTTTGCAATCTTGTCCGTATGTCTGTGTGTGTGTCTGTGTGTCTGTGTGTCTGTGTGTCCGTGTGTAAACACGATAACTTGAGTACCGTTACAGCTAGGCTGGTGAAATTTCATATATAAGTATTTTATCAAAATCGTAGATCCGTATCAACTTTTGAGCGAATTCCGATAACCGGAAGTGGTACTTTTTCTACTTTGAATTTTTCAAAAGCCTATAACTTGAGTACTATTTCAGATAGATAAATGAAATTTGATATGTAAGTAAAAGAGCTAATTCTCTACCTTCTGTCAAATTTTGAGTATTTTCCGTTGACCGGAAGTACTTATTTACGCTATTTCCGATTTCTCAAAAAACGCATGTAAATTTATAAAGTACTAATAATATTGCGCACTATTATGCGCTTTTTTATTTAGCGTTCACTTGGTGTGCATTTCTTTTTTCTACGAGATTATATTCTATTTTAAGAAATGTGAGTATTTAAAATGGAATAAAAATCATGCCTAGAAGTCTATATCCCGAGTTGCCATCCCCTGTAGTGTTATATTAGAATATTCGAGAAAGTTTAGGGCAGATCACTCCCGGTTTATTTTTATTTAGTTACCGAAAATATTAAAAACATCAAATACATCCAATCTTTAGTAAAGTCAGAAAAAACCAAACAGGCAGGATTTTATAACCATATTAATTGTAACTACGCTGTGCATGATTTTTAAATGAATTTATGGGCCTCTCAAATACCTTTGAGACTTTTCTCGCTGGTGTCCATTCTATGACAGCAATATAAAAACCATGAATAAGTGACTAGACCTTTCTAAGCTAATATATCGCCGAGTCGCTACGCCTCTGGTGTCTACCAGGCAACGATTGTTTAATACAATTTCAGCCTGACTGGAGCCAGCTGCCGAACGAAATTCTGCTGAAAGTCTTCCGTTACCTGAGCAACAGGGACAAATACCACGCCGCTCTAACCTGCAAATCTTGGCTCCGTCCACTCTCAGAGCCGTCCGTGTGGGAGACCGGAGATTTTATTTTCGCCTCCGAGAGTGATGAGAAAGCGATCACGTTTGTAAAAATGACTGGCAAAACGTTACGTCACATCAAAGTAGAATGTAGACCGAGCAGGTATCATTTGTGGGGTAAGTCACACAAAAAGGAGTGTAAATGTGCGTCAATGTACGAACCAGTCAACAAATGTACATGTGTATTTTTGTTTTTAAAGCAAACAGAGGCTGCGCATCGTGCACTGAAAAGCTTTGCCAATTTTTGGCAAACTTATTGAATTCAGGCAACCATCAAATTTGGACCTTCAAGCTAACAAATCTGTGCAGTTGGAAAATCGATGGCAAAAGAGCAAGGTCAAGGTCATTTTCAGAGGTCGTTCAACTCTTGACCAAAGTTTTAGAGGACCAGGAGCAACTTCGTGTCCTGGACCTCAGCAACAATGCTTGTTTTACCGTAGATGAAGGTCAGTATGGACAGTCTAACATTGGGTGTTAACAAGACATTAGGTGTTAACAAGACGTTGGGTGTTAACAAGAAGTTGGGTGCTTGCACGGTTTGTATTTAGTTAGATTTTATTGTGGTGGTATCAACAGTCGACCTCACTTCAGACAGGGGATTTTGGGATGAGCATTATTATACTTTTAATGCATCAGAAATCAAAATAATAAATTCTTTTTTTTTCTCCAAACACGTTTTAAACCAATTAAAAATAAAAATGGAAACTATATAATTTTCAAGGTCTGAAACTGTTGACTGGTGCTGGTAAAAACAGCGGCAACACGCTTCGTAAACTGGCGATCTACAGGCTCGTTAGCTTGAAAGACTTGACCTTTCTTCCACAATTTCGAAGCGCCATCTCTGGCTTCAGCAAGTTGTCAGGTGGGTTGAATGACGTCATCTTTCAGTTAAAAGATTAGTTTGATTTTGCCTGGTCTGTTACATTTTTAAAACAAGTAAGAATTATTAATAATATTTTCAATAATAAACAAACATTCGTTTTACTATTGAATAGTATGGTACAGTAGCGTAGCGAGTTGGGGGGGGGGGGGGGATGCCAAAATGGGTTGGAAAAATAAATTGAAAAGTTGAGGATCGAAAGTTTGAGAGGGGGGTGCAAATGGAAAGTTTGAGGAGGGGGGTGCATATCGAAATCTTGAGGGGGTTGGGGTGCAAATCGAAAAGTTTGTCCCCGGGCGCCGGGAAGGGTCGCTACGCCTCTGGTATGGTAGCTAATGATGGTGGTTATAAATTTACATGGAAGTGAACACTGGTTATCTCTAGTGTTGCATCACTGGCTGTAAAGTCAGGAGATTGGAAAAACACTTTTCAGTGTAGCAGTCCATCCAGTTTTAAAATGACATTGACCAGCCAGCTTTGATAAAAAACCTTGACCTCCCAACTCTGACAAGATGTTGACCACCATCTATAACAAAAGCTTGACCTAATAAGAACTGACTACTCAACTCTGATAAGATCTTGACCACCTAGCTCTGATAAGACCTTCACCAAACTCCGACAATACCTTGACTACTATAGCTCTAACCTTGACTACCCAGCTCTGATAAGATATTGACCCCCTAGCTCTTACCACTAACGCTATGTGTACGTAATCTTTGACTTGGTTACTTCTCTAGTCAACTCACCATATGCCACATATCGAGAAACCTTGTGACTTTCAGAACTTGACCTCAGCTACGGCTATTTGGAAGATGACCTGCTGCTTAGCTTAGCCAGGACAACAAGTAGTCTGAAGGTGATCACAGTTCGTGTAGACAAGCCCCTAAATTTCGAGACTAGCACCACCCCTACAGCGTGGGAGAACCTTACAGCGGCATGCCCTGAGCTCCGAGTCATATTTTTCATCAAACCAAAAACTGTGAGATTTTGTTTAGTAAAAAAAAAAAACCTTCAGTATAAAAATATTTTAAAAAATACAAACTCAGTTTACTTTTGCTATTAAATTAAAAGCCGTGTCAGTCTGGCAACTGTTAGAACACACGGCCACTTTTAGTAAAGTAGATAAACAAGTAGCTTACCTTCTGTTCATTATTTTAGTCAGACTAACATGCGACGGTGGTAGAGCACTAGGCTGTTAATCCGAAAGTCTCGAGTTCAAATCCAAGGTTCAAGTCAGTAGAACGTCTCTAAGTCCAACAAAATCTGATGGGTACCTAACTCATGAAAGGAGGAGTAGTCAGCAATTGGCCTACTCGTCTTTAATTCTGAATATGAGTCGAGTCCAATTAACATATGAACTCTACTTCATCTGCCTAACAGATCGCTAGGCCTATATTTATTGTTTACTTTTTAACACTGAGTTACAGGGTATTATTTCTAAGTAGATAAATCACAATTATATACAGAATTTCAAAGTAAGTCTTGAAACAAATTCCTTTCAGGAGTCGTACTTCCAAGACACGACATTGATGCTAACACCATCCATGCCGCTCTATCAAGTCCAGTGGACATCTGGCAGTGTCATCGCTATAGAGAACATAGTGAAGTTCTTTCAACATATGGGACAAAACTTTCAGGTGAGGGGGATCAGCTTCACACTGGGTACAAACCTTTCATTTAGTAAATTCACGTTACTGAATCGTAAAAATACAAAGATCCGAGCTAAAACTGCTTTTGAATGGAATCAGCGTTAAATTAATTGGTTTGTGAAATTTAATGCAACAACATCAATGATTTTTACTCATATAATTGGTCTGTGTTTACAGGAAACTTTACATCATCTTTATCTAGAAACTGATGTTCGTCTAGACATGGAATGCATTGATGCGATGTTCAAAAGGTAAGTCAACATTCTAGTGTTGTTCTGGTTGTGATTTCAGGCTGTTAAATACATTTTGTAGGCTAAAAATTTATTAGTTGTTTGATTTGTAAGTAGTAAAACATATGGTCGAGGGTGCTGCAAGATTAAATGCATATATTGTAATTTTTGGGTTGGTTAAATCAATGAAGCAAACTTTTGTGTGAGATAATCTTATTAGAGCTTGTATGTGTATGTTTCTTGAACTCTGTATATGACTAAATGGTGTAGCTGCATCGTGCCCAACAGTAAGACAGGTACCAGAATCACGTTGGGGAACGGGCTGGGTGGAGTAAAGTCAGGTACCCATCAGAGCTGGGTGGAGTAGAGTCAGGTACCATCAGAGCTGGGTGGAGTAAAGTCAGGTACCCATCAGAGCTGGGTGGAGTAAAGTCAGGTACCATCAGAGCTGGGTGGAGTAAAGTCAGGTACCCATCAGAGCTGGGTGGAGTAAAGTCAGGTACCCATCAGAGCTGGGTGGAGTAAAGTCAGGTACCCATCAGAGCTGGGTGGAGTAAAGTCAGGTACCCATCAGAGCTGGGTGGAGTAAAGTCAGGTACCCATCAGAGCTGGGTGGAGTAAAGTCAGGTACCCATCAGAGCTGGGTGGACTAGAGTCAAGTACCATCAGAGCTGGGGTGGACTAGAGTCAGGTACCATCAGAGCTGGGTGGACTAGAGTCAGGTACCCATCAGAGCTGGGTGGACTAGAGTCAGGTACCCATCAGAGCTGGGTGGACTAGAGTCAGGTACCCATCAGAGCTGGGTGGACGAGAGTCAGGTACCCATCAGAGCTGGGTGGACTAGAGTCAAGTACCATCAGAGCTGGGGTGGACTAGAGTCAGGTACCATCAGAGCTGGGTGGACGAGAGTCAGGTACCATCAGAGCTGGGTGGACTATAGTCAGATACCCATCAGAGCTGGGTGGACTAGAGTCAGGTACCCATCAAGGCTGGGTGGCCTAGAGTCAGGTACCATCAGAGCTGGGTGGACTATAGTCAGATACCCATCAGAGCTGGGTGGACTAGAGTCAGGTACCATCATCGTTGTGTGGGTTGGAGTCAGGTACCTTTGAGTCAGGTACCCATCAGTGCGGGATGAGCTCAGCGACATCCCAGAGTCCCTATTCTGGACAGAAGTACAATTTGTGTGCTACAGCATGCTTGGCATTTTAGCTGCTTCTTTAAGTTCGATACTACGAATGGCTAAGTTACTGACCCAAAGGGCATATCTACAACTTGTTTCATAATATCATCATAATGGAGAAACTAGGAGCGTCCAACTGTATACTACTTGAGAGGGTAGGGGTGCATGTTTGTGGAGGTTGGGTAGAGAGTTTTTAGAGATGCGTAAAAAATTGTGGGTTCCGGATGCCAATCTCACAAAAGATTTAATGTTCAATTTTATTTATAGGTTAATTCTCTCAACGGCTTGCCCGAAAATGCAGCAATGCCCGTAGTTTTATTAATATCGATGAACAGAAAGAAACATTGGCTATAGGGTTATTGATACCGATGGGCCTTGTACACTCCCCCCCCCCCCTTCACTCCACAGTAAGAAAGGTTTGGGGGCCTTTTTTTTTTAATTTTTATTACTTCTACAGTAGAAAAGAAACTGGATTTCCATTTTCTTTCTAAAATTATATTTATAATACAAATATAAAAATGTAAAAGTTTTAAAATTTTAAAGAGGGAAAAAGGGCCTCTATTTGCCTTGGGTCCCTATGTCTTGCTTACGCTAGCTTTACGGTAGCTACGCCACTGGCTTGGCGAGTCAGATACGATATGAGTTTCTGATGTGTGTCATACATGTATGTAATGATATTCCTACCCTACCTGTGTGTCCACAGTTTACAGCCGTGCACAAATCTGGACAGCCTGTCGCTATCTTTGGACTGTGAAATGAGTGATGACAAGGAGATGTACACGACAGCCATCAGAGATGTCATGACGCGATGTCCGATGTCATGTGATGTCACACTGAACGGTCGAGCAGTCAAACAGTTGTCAACAGTTCTAGAACAATAGCATGGAGATCAACAGTTCTAGAACCATAGCATGGAGGTAAACAGTTCTACAACACTAGCAATTATGAAACCAATACTAGAAACGGGGTAGTTCCACCCCCTCCAACGCCACTCGGTGGTTTTAAGTTACCTGCCCGAGAAAAATGCCTGAAAGAAAACCAGAATTTATAAAATAATAATTTTTACTGACCAAAGCAAAATAAGTAGTTTCAGATGCAGCTAGTAAATTATTTCCCAAATTTGAATGTGAACATGGTCAAGTGAAACAATGAAATCAGTTGATTGAAACAATTTAGAAAACATTGTAGAAAGGAATAAAAACAGTAGTAGTTAGTATATTTTATTTAAACGTCAATCAGACAGTGTACAACAATCTGTAGAAAATGTTTTCAAACATTACAAAACGATATTCTATCTTCCGCTACATAAGTTAACAACATTTATCATTTTAAGATTCGTACATTTTTTAAATAGTAAACACTTCCTTTACTACAGGTTGAAGTTTTTAAGTCACTTTCTTTACAATTTAGATCCCATTTGGAAGAATCGACAGTATTAAAGTAGATTCACAGAGCGGGTAGCATTTTAATATGATCCTCACAAAAATAATCAAGTATCTGTCCTTCACTGAATATCAATATTCTATCATAGGTCCGTGTGTAGGACGGTGTACATAACTTCGATTAGCCGCATGTAATCTTGTTGATTCAACGAACTAGTCAGGAGACAGAAGTAACACAATTGCAAAAAATTATCGCGTAATTTATTAGGGAATATTAGCTTAATGAGTTTAATGGGTGTCAAAAGACATATTTAGCAGAGGACGACTTCTATAGCAATAGCTAGTTTAACTACAGAAAATACATGTTTATAAAATTAATTTAATTAGACCAATTAGTTTATTGTTTTTAACATTTATTCTGATTTACATTCGTATTCGAAGTTATTTTTAGCAACTAATCAATGTTATATATATATGTATATATATATGTATATATATATATGTATATATATATATATATATATATATATATATATATATATATATATGTATATATATATATATATATGTATATATATATATATATATATATATATATATATATATATATATATATATATATATATATATATATATACTTTTTGTTGTTTGTATAACTTTCAATTAAAACAACAGTTCAACTATTTTAATCTTAGTTCAACCTATTGACCTGAATAGTAAAATACGTACTCTTAAAACACAGTTTTACAAATTTAAAATGCAAACAATTATATAGTCTACATTCTCGTAGCTTTTGTTTAACAAATAATTAAAAGTTTAGAAAAAGAAAGAAATAATAAATATGCGTTAGATTTATACACAAAATTAGTTGTAAAATAATGATTGCATGTAGTTTAAATCTAAAATAATTTATTGATTTGTGGTGCTTTGTTTACATTAAGTGCAAGTCGCTATTTACATAGAATTTTAACATTACTTATCAACAGAGTACATCCAATTTAAAAACGTGAGACTCGTTATGAGATAATTACGTGAAAACTGAGCGAATCATCCAGAAGAAGATTGTGATAAAACCTTGCTGCCCAGGCTTGTTTAGAAAATCTTGCCAATGATGTCTTCATAAAACTTGTTGATTTTCTCATCCTGAAATGGAGAGTTAACATTTAAGTATAGTCGTTATAGTTTTGTAAGGTCTATGATAAAGAAAACATCAAACATATCTTCTCGACTCTTTTTGTTTTGTTTCAATTAACTTTGTGGGCCGATTTATTGTTTTAAAAGAACCCGGAAAAACAAATTCAAACTACAAACTTACCATGAGATGAATTCAACACTGACAATTCACGGTGGGATAAAATCTATTCACTGATAACTTACCATGGGATAAAATCAAATCATTGACAACTTTCCAAGGAATGAAATCATATCACTACCTACTTACCATGGGATAAAATCAAATCATTGACAACTTTCCATGGAATGAAATCATATCACTAAAACTTACCATGGGATAAATAGCTTTAGGATAATCTCTCCCATCTGCTCTCAATTTGGACAAATATTGAAATGGATTCTGGTTCTAAAAACGTTGGATAAATACAAGCAAAGCGTCAATTGCCTTTTGAAGATCATTGAGTTTTAAAAAATAAACATTGGCAATCTTCTAAATATGCCTTGTCTTAATGTTATTATTTTTAAAAGTGTGAAAGCATTAAAGGTCATTTATACAGTCATCGTATAGATAGACACATGGAACGAATGGCAGAGCGTTTGACTGACAATAAGTAAGTCTCGAGTTCGTATAGATAGACACATGGAACAAATGGCAGAGCGTTTGACTGACAATAAGTAAGTCTCGAGTTCGTATAGATAGACACATGGAACGAATGGCAGAGCGTTTGACTGACAATTAGTAAGTCTCGAGTTCGTATAGATAGACACATGGAACGAATGGCAGAGCGTTTGACTGACAATAAGTAAGTCTCGAGTTCGTATAGATAGACACATGGAACGAATGGCAGAGCGTTTGACTGACAATAAGTAAGTCTCGAGTTCGTATAGATAGACACATGGAACGAATGGCAGAGCGTTTGACTGACAATAAGTAAGTCTCGAGTTCGTATAGATAGACACATAGAACGAATGGCAGAGCGTTTGACTGACAATAAGTAATTCTCGGATCCTTGGCTCAAGTAGGTAGGATGTCCCAGAGTCTACTCAGCTCTGATGGGTACTTGGCTGACGTTGGGGAAGGTAACTGCTGCTAGGCATCGTGCTGTCTACACCATTCAGATAAACTTTACATTATCTGGATCATGTACCGTATGAATTAGTCTTTTGCATGTACTAGCATAAAACTGCTGCGATATTATATAATGATGTAATGTGTTACCACAGTGCATCAATATGCCCACTAATGTGTCACAACCTACTGTATCAATATACCAACTAATGTGTCAACACCGGATATCAATATACCCAGCAATGCGTACCACACTCTATATCAATATACCACCAATATGTCACACAAATGTATCATTCCAACTAATGTGTCACCGCAGTGCATCAATATACCCACCAATGTGTCACCATATTATAACATATACCCATCAATGTGTCACCATACTGTATCTATATACCCACAATGTGTCACCATATTATAACATATACCCATCAATGTGTCACCATACTGTATCTATATATACCCACTAATGTGCCACTTAATTAACACCTAACCTTTAACCCCGCCCATTATCTTACCCGTGCTGTGTTGATTGGCCTGTCACACGTGTCAAAAGAAAAATATTTGCTGTACTTGGTTCGCCTGAGCGTCTCGGCCAAGTATCCGTCTATCTGTACAAGCTCACCTTTCTGGGAAATTAAAAAAAAAACAACAACATTGTTTCACAAAAACTTTCAGGAATTTTTATTTTACTAGTAGGTCTGTACTAATCACAGAGCCTTTAAATTTCTTGAGAAATCTTTCTAATGTATTCACTAAATCTAAATGTAATGTACACGTTCGCAAATGATAGTTCTCGTATTCCGTTCCTACACCTGAACACTTAGGGCCTGGGTAGCTGGAACCACCATTTTATGGGATGAGAATGTAATGGAATAAAAACACAAGCTCATGCTTAAAATGTACGGAATACCACACTTATTTTTATTTTTCGATCATGTTCTATTACCATTCGATTTTTTTTTTACAAGGAGTACAATAGACTTAAAAAGCTGGTTAAAAATGGTTCCACATTTTTGTTTCCAAAAAGTATATTTTTCAACCAAACTTGAATATTTTATAACATTAATGTAATAAGTACAAAATTACTTCCTGTTTCATTAAAGCTAGAAGTATTCAAAGAAATAATTACTTGTAATATAAAAGTATTTAGGCCTAACAAATACTTTAGCATAGATGTTTCCAAAACTTTAGTATGATTACATAGACTTTTGATGCCAATTGTAAACAATGTCATGTGTATAACAGTGACAACGTATAGGAATGTAGTCAGTTTCATACGCCTAGTCATACATTTCTAGTATAACATTTCCAATAGTCTTCAATAGACCTATAATTACAGAGTGTGATAATAATGAGCATCGTTCCCTCTAAAAGTAAAAAGCTAGTGATCAACCTGCGTTTTTTGTGCGGTGTTCTGAAAGTCTTATACAAGGATATATATATATGTATATATATATATATATATATATATATCTATATATATCTATATATATATATATATATATATATATATATATATATATATTTTTTTTTTTTTTTTTTTTTTCTTCTTCAAAATAACTGTGCGCAGCTAAAAACTACAACGCTGCCGCGCAACCGCGCAGCGTAGAGGGAACAATGACAACCAGCCCGTGGAAGTTTGTATGAACCCATTCTAAAATCAACTTCTGGATCGGAATTTTTTATACCTTAAAAACCAGGTCCACATCCCATTTTAGCACTTGTCCACTTTCGACGTATTCACCGTTGTAGGTCACAATGGCGGAATGGTCCGGTGTTGTAGGTACAAGTTTAATCAGTCGGTATACAGCGCACACGTAGTTCACTCCTCCTGGTAGTTAAACAACCAGCAGTTAGTGCATAGTTTATCAGGGGCGATCACTCTCTCAATTAAAGTGTAATGTTTTTGTGCTTAGTTTATCAGGGGGGATCACTCAATCAAAGTGTTAAGATTTTAGTGCAAAGTTAATCAGGGGCGATCACTCTATCAAAGTGTAAGGGTTTTAGTACAAAGTTAATCAGGGGCGATGACTCACGGAGCTCTTGTCTGAACGTGTCCTGCTCAAACTGGAACGTGTCAGCGGCGTAGAGCAGGTAGGGGTCTGAGAGCCCCACCCTGCGGCCGTACGTCTGTAGGTCAGACCAGACCATCGCGTCACTGATGCCGTAGCCTGGTTGAAATATGGGCGGGGTTATATGGCAAACTGACGTGGGAGGAGGCGGGGTTATATGGCAAACTGACGTAGACGGAGGCGGGGTTATATGGCAAACTGACGTGGGAGGAGGCGGGGTTATATGGCAAACTGACGTGGATGGAGGCGGGGTTATATGGCAAACTGACGTGGGAGGAGGCGGGGTTATATGGCAAACTGACGTAGACGGAGGCGGGGTTATATTGCAAACTGACGTGGATGGAGGCGGGGTTATATTGCAAACTGACGTAGATGGAGGCGGGGTTATATTACAAACTGACGTGGATGGAGGCGGGGTTATATGGCAAACTTACGTGGATGGAGGCGGGGTTACATTGCAAACTGACGTGGATGGAGGCGGGGTTATATTGCAAACTGACGTGGATGGAGGCGGGGTTATATGGCAAACTGACGTAGATGGAGGCGGGGTTATATTACAAACTGACGTGGATGGAGGCGGGGTTATATGGCAAACTGACGTAGATGGAGGCGGGGTTACAAACTGACATGGTGATGGAGGCAGAGTTACATTAGATCTATACACGGAAGTAGATGTAAGCGGGGTTACATTAAAAATTAACATGGTGAATTATAGGGGAAAATATGTTTTATAGTTGGACAGAATAAAATGCCGACGATGTCAGAACGGTTACTATATACAATTTCAAGAATGTTGATTTGCTGTACTTTCTATACAAAAAAAATAGAGTTTTAGATATAAACGACGAAATAAATATTTTAAAAAGTCTCACAGTTAAAGAGTGGATTGTTCCTGACCTCCAGACATTGTTCCACGTCAGAAAAGATGTCACTGTTGTAGAACTCTCCACCTTCCTGGTACACAAGGTCAAGTATCAGGTGTACTTATGTCACATATGTCACATATCAGGTGTACTTATGTCACATATGTCACATATCAGGTGTACTTATGTCACATATGTCACATATCAGGTGTACTTATGTCACATATGTCACATATCAGGTGTACTTTTGTCACATAACAGTTGTACTAATGTCACATATCAGGTGTACTAAAGTCACATATTAGGTGTTCGTACGTCACATTTCAGTTGTACTTATGTCATATTTCAAGTGTTCTTATGTGTACATATATTTAAACGTAAACCAGAATTTTACTTAATTTTACTTAATACATTATTGTCACATTTATAATTGAAAACAAAATGAAAATGTTCTATTTTAAACAGCACCGTTACCTTTAAAAGATCAGCTAAAATTTGGAAGACTTTTGTTTTGTCTTTAATTAAACAAAGTAGTCCGTTTGAACTGCAATTAAGTAAACAATGTTCATTTAGTAAAAGTAAAAGTATTTTTAAGATGTAGAACTAAGCGAAGTATAAGATGCGTGTGAGTTTTGTGTGTAAAATGCGAGGTCTGTTGATGTGAGTTTTGTGTGTAAAATGCGAGGTCTGTTGATGTGAGTTTTGTGTGTAAAATGCGAGGTCTGTTGATGTGAGTTTTGTGTGTAAAATGCGAGGTCTGTTAATGTGAGTTTTGTGTGTAAAATGCGAGGTCTGTTGATGTGAGTTTTGTGTGTAAAATGCGAGGTCTGTTGATGTGAGATTTGTGTGTAAAATGCGAGGTCGTTGATGCGAGTTTTGTGTGTAAAATGCGAGGTCTGTTGATGTGAGTTTTGTGTGTAAAATGCGAGGTCTGTTGATGTGAGTTTTGTGTGTAAAATGCGAGGTCTGTTGATGTGAGTTTTGTGTGTAAAATGCGAGGTCTGTTGATGTGAGTTTTGTGTGTAAAATGCGAGGTCTGTTAATGTGAGTTTTGTGTGTAAAATGCGAGGTCTGTTGATGTGAGTTTTGTGTGTAAAATGCGAGGTCTGTTGATGTGAGATTTGTGTGTAAAATGCGAGGTCTGTTGATGTGAGTTTTGTGTGTAAAATGCGAGGTCTGTTGATGTGAGTTTTGTGTGTAAAATGCGAGGTCTGTTGATGTGAGTTTTGTGTGTAAAATGCGAGGTCTGTTGATGTGAGATTTGTGTGTAAAATGCGAGGTCTGTTGATGTGAGTTTTGTGTGTAAAATGCGAGGTCTGTTAATGTGAGTTTTGTGTGTAAAATGCGAGGTCTGTTGATGTGAGTTTTGTGTGTAAAATGCAAGGTCTGCTGTTGGTACTCACACTATGACGTCAAACGGCTCCAACTGAAAGTCCGTTAACGTCTCGATGTCCGTTTGTATGAACTCACAGTTTGGTTGTGTGTAGCCCCACTCTCTCATGTGGTAGTCGGTTTGTTCTTGACACAGCTGGATCTGTTGACAGGCAGACACATAGACAGGTATAGACATAGACAGGCAGACACGTAGACAGGCAGGCACATAGACAGGCATACACATAGACAGGCATACACATAGGCAGGCATATAGACAGGCAGACAAATAGACAGGCAGACACATAGACATGCAGACACATAGACAGGCATATAGACAGGCAGACACATAGACAGGCATATAGACCGAAAGACACATAGACAGGCTTATAGACAGACAGACACATAGACAGGCATATAGACAGGCAGACACATAGACAGGCAGACACATAGACATGCAGACACATAGACAGGCATATAGACAGGCAGACACATAGACAGGCATATAGACCGAAAGACACATAGACAGGCATATAGACAGGCAGACACATAGACAGGCATATAGACCGGCAGATATATAGACAGGCATATAGACAGGCAGACACATAGACAGGCATATAGACAGGCAGACACATAGACAGGCATATAGACAGGCAGACACATAGACAGGCATATAGACAGGCAGACACATAGACAGGCAGACACATAGACAGGCAGACACATAGACAGGCAGACACATAGACAGGCAGACACATAGACAGGCAGACACATAGACAGGCATATAGACTGGCAGACACATAGACAGGCAGACACACAGACAGGCAGACACATAGACAGGCATATAGACCGGCAGACACATAGACAGGCATTATAGACAGACAGACAGACACATAGACAGGCATATAGACAGGCAGACACACAGACAGGCAGACACATAGACCGGCAGACACATAGACAGGCATATAGATAGGCAGACACATAGACAGGCATATAGACCGGCAGACACATAGACAGGCATATAGACCGGCAGACACAAAGACAGGCATATAGACAGGCTGACACATAGACAGGCATACACATAGGCAGGCATATAGACAGGCAGACACATAGACAGGCACATAGACAGACAGACACATAGACAGGCATATAGACAGGCAGACACATAGACAGGCAGACACATAGACAGGCAGACACATAGACAGGCAGACACATAGACAGGCAGACACATAGACAGGCATATAGACCGGCAGACACATAGACAGGCAGACACACAGACAGGCAGACACATAGACAGGCATATAGACCGGCAGACACATAGACAGGCATTATAGATAGACAGACAGACAGACACATAGACAGGCATATAGACAGACAGACACATAGACAGGCAGACACATAGACAGGCAGACACACAGACAGGCAGACACATAGACCGGCAGACAAATAGACAGGCATATAGACAGAGAGACACATAGACAGGCATATAGACCGGCAGACACATAGACAGGCATATAGACAGGCAGACACATAGACAGGCAGACACATAGACAGGCAGACACATAGACAGCCAGACACATAGATAGGCATATAGACCGGCAGACACATAGACAGGCAGACACATAGACAGTCAGACACATAGACAGGCATATAGACCGGCAGACACATAGACAGGCAGACACATAGACAGGCAGACACATAGACAGGCATATAGACCGACAGACACATAGACAGGCATATAGACAGACAGACACATAGACACATAGGCATATAGACAGACAGACACATAGACAGGCAGACACATAGACAGGCAGACACACAGACAGGCAGACACATAGACAGGCATATAGACAGGCAGGCATATAGACCGGCAGACACTTAGACAGGCATATAGACAGGCAGACACATAGGCAGGCATATAGACAGGCAGACACATAGACAGGCATATAGACCGGCAGACACATAGACAGGCATATCGACAGGCAGACACATAGACAGGCATATAGACAGGCAGACACATAGACAGGCATATAGACAGGCAGACACATAGAGAGGCATATAGACAGGCTGACACATAGACAGGCAGACACATAGACAGGCAGACACATAGACAGTCAGACACATAGACAGGCATATAGACCGGCAGACACATAGACAGGCATATAGACAGGCAGACACATAGACAGGCAGACACATAGACAGGGAGACACATAGACAGCCAGACACATAGATAGGCATATAGACCGGCAGACACATAGACAGGCAGACACATAGACAGTCAGACACATAGACAGGCATATAGACCGGCAGACACATAGACAGGCAGACACATAGACAGGCAGACACATAGACAGGCATATAGACCGACAGACACATAGACAGGCATATAGACAGGCAGACACATAGACAGGCATATAGACCGGCAGACACATAGACAGGCATATAGACAGACAGACACATAGACACATAGGCATATAGACAGACAGACACATAGACAGGCAGACACATAGACAGGCAGACACACAGACAGGCAGACACATAGACAGGCATATAGACAGGCAGACACATAGACAGGCATATAGACCGGCAGACACTTAGACAGGCATATAGACAGGCAGACACATAGACAGGCATATAGACCGGCAGACACATAGACAGGCATATCGACAGGCAGACACATAGACAGGCATATAGACAGGCAGACACATAGACAGGCATATAGACAGGCAGACACATAGACAGGCATATAGACAGGCTGACACATAGACAGGCAGACACATAGACAGGCAGACACATAGACAGTCAGACACATAGACAGGCATATAGACCGGCAAACACATAGACAGGCAGATACATAGACAGGCATATAGACATAAATGTTACTCGTTTAACCAAATTGAAGTCATGCTGTCTAATTTCAAATCTGTCCAACCCTTAACTAACTTGTCCAACCCTTAAATAACTTGTCCAACCCTTAACTAACTTGTCCAACCATTAAATAACTTGTCCAACCCTTAACTATCTTGTCCAACCCTTAACTAACTTGTCCAACCCTTAAATAACTTGTCCAACCCTTAACTATCTTGTCCAACCCTTAACTAACTTTTCCAACCCTTAACTAACTTGTCCAACCCTTAACTAACTTGTCCAACCCTTAACTAAATTGTGCAACCCTTAACTGCCTTACAGTCTAACGTAACTGTCTAACGTTTAACCTAGCCTTACAAACTGCTCCGAACTGTCCACACCAACCACGTGACCAGACGGGCCGACAAGTTTGGACAACAGGAAGGTCAGAGAGCCTCCCCCACAGCCAATGTCAAGGACACGGGCGCCGTGGATGACGTCAGGGATGAACATGGCTGTCCCGTCGTAACTAAGGTAAACAGGTCAAAGGTTATTGAGATGACCTCTGACGTGATTAGCACAACATGAGGCGTATCAAACTTTTTCAAACGTTTACTTTTTTTCATAAGACTTTCAAACATCACAAGATCATGTACATTTAGTTACTTCTAGAAACATTTCTAAACAATTTCAAGAAACCATCATTCCAATAGGTTAATTGTTCTAGTCAGAGTTTCTTCCAGGCATCTCTTCGCCCCCCCCCCCCCCCCGAAAATTTCAAGTGCCCCCCCCCCCCCCCGGAGAAAAAAGTATGGAAGAAACACTGGTTCTAGTAACAAGCGAAGTCCAAACTTCTCACTCTGATAATTTGAAAATGATAAAAACTCACATTCTTTGTAAATTTTAATTCCTTTTTCTTTATGTGAAAATTCAATCTTAATGTGATTGGTTATCAATCAGTGTTTCTTCCAGGCATTTCTTTGGGGGAGGGTGGGGCGCCTTAGTGGCGGCGGAGCCCTCCCTAAGAAAGACCCCCATCCCGGAAATATCAAGTGCCCCCCCCCCCTCAGGAGAAAAAAGTCCGAAAGAAACACGGTTGTCACTGTTTTAACACTAAAGCACAGTAAACCATAATAATTTTTTTTCTTATATAGGCATATATATATATATATATATATATATATATATATATATATATATATATATATATATATATATATATATATATATTATTTATATATATATATATATATATATATATATATATATAATTTATATATATATATATATATATATATATATATATATATATATATATATATATATATATATATATATATATATATATATATATATATATATATATATATCTTAGGACTCCTGATTTATTCCGAAAGGAGGCCCCTCTCAGCTGAATCTACCCCCTGATCCCCCCCCTCACCTCCTGATGGTCCTCTCATCTGAATCCACCCCCTGATTCCCCCACCCCCTCACCTCCTAAAGGTCCGCTCACTGATCTGAGGCAACAACTTCCTAGCATGAGACGGCAGCGCCTCCACGTTGAGCCGAGCGTCGTACATCGTCTCCTTCATCGACCGGTACATCTGACGTATGATCAGCCTTGACCTTTCCTCCCCCATCTTCAGTTGCTGAAGCTGGCTCCACCCAAGTCGGCGTCTCACAACACAGCGAACGTTAACTATCCGTGCGTAGTATTTGTAGTGGTGATCTTTAGTTATAAATGTAATAATAATTGAACAGTTTAAATATAGATATGTTACAGTAAACACATAGTTCAACTCTGTCTTACACCTTCATAAGATATGTATATTAAAACATTAGATAAAAATATTACCAAAAAAATGCACAGTTGAACGCTAGCTATAAATATGTAATATATATATATATATATATATATATATATATATATATATATATATATATATATATATATATATATATATATATATATATAAATGCAATAGGTGACATTCCCTTCCCATCTATCTTCTTTCTTCTATATTTATAATTCTCTTCTGGGAGACGCTAGAAAACAAGCTGTAAACGCGTTCCCTACCATCCCCACCCCTACATGGTCTGGTGAGCTGTGGTTCACTCTAAATGTTTACAAACAGATCCGGGTTTAGTGACGACTATTAGGGGCAGATAATTTAGTTTGAAACGATTTTAAACGTAGGGGGGGGGGGAGTAACTAAGTGGAGTTTACTTTAACGGAGGGGGGGGGGAGGTGGGGGGAGGGGTTATCGTCCTTAAAGAGCTACTTATAGTGTTTTAAAGAAATATTTTCAGTGGCAGCGTTGGTAGTGTCGAATTCACAAATTATGAATAACTGAAAAGTAGAAAAAACAACAACTAAATAGCGGCGTATGATATGCCGCGGGTCGGCTCGTTTTATATAATGGCGCTAATTTGTGCGCACAATCCACCTATTAATTCATCTCGAAAAAGCATCGTTTTCATCGTAAGTCATTAGATTTTGGTTTCACTCCCTTTACTGTCGTTGATTGACTTATCTTTTATTAAAAAAAATGTTTCTATATAATTTGCTATTTTTTTTAGCCGTGGTGTAGCCCCATACATGGTGTCACCCGGTGCAGCTGCACCCCTCCCCGCCTTGCGACGCTTTCGCGCATATTATACTTGCTGCATACACAGCTGTATGTATTTAAACAGTCAAAATGAAAACTTTCTTTTAAAGAAAACTATCACAAGCATTTATATTGTACCGTGAGAACTGTTGGCTGAACACATCTATTTATTTTTCAACAGAAATAATTCCCGAACTGACCTACTTACTGACACTTTGTTTACTGTTTAGTTCTTGAACAAATATCTTCATGTAAATAAAAGCAACGTAACTCTTGCAGCAGAGGGAAAGTGGGCAAATAAGGTACATAAAGCCAGATAGATATAAATAAAAACACTAAGAGCGATAAATATTGAGTCTACATAACCCTTACCTTCAGCAATTCTGCTATTCTAAATGAAGCAAACGTTGAATGAAAGCTTACAAACAACATGGGCTGGTCTGGCATCCAGTTTAAACCCGCTCAACAGGAAAGTTGACATACTTGTTGGAATCATACCTATCCAAATATAAACATTTCCCCCTACGGTTGAGCGATCTTAAAACATAAGCACGTAGACCCACCTCATTGGATGAACAATCACAAGACCAAACCAGTCAAGCGATGCACGCGACCTGTAAACGTACTTGAACATCTAGATCAGGACAAAAAACATTCTCGTCTAAATCTGGGTTTGAAACTAGTGTAGAAACTTCAATGCGTTATGTGACAATACAGCGCCTAATCTATACAGCCGCGAATAACTTATGATGTTAGCCTAATTTAATTAATTTGTAGAGTTAATATCTAATTTAGTGTGAATAAAGAGTTCAAAGTAAATTTAATAGTTCCATTACATTACTAAGCAGAGTTATTGAAAATAACAGATGTGTCGTTTTAGTTTTGTTGTGAGTTTTAATGGAATCGATGAACGCCCCCTCACACACACCTCCTTCACACACACACACTTTTCGTTGGAACAGCCGTCTAAATATCGGTCACGTCCGTGAAAGGTTACAGGTGTCAGGCAGGTTACAGGTGAATGGCAGGTTACAGGTGAATGGCAGGTTACAGGTGAATGGCAGGTTACAGGTGAATGTCAGGCAGGTTACAGGTGAATGGTAGGTTACTGGTGAATGGCAGGTTACAGGTGAATGTCAGGCAGGAAGTTTACAGGTGAATGTAAGGCAGGTTACAGGTGAATGTCAGGCAGGTTACAGTAAAATGTCAGGCAGGCAAGTTACAGGGGAATGTCAGGCAGGTTACAGGTGTATGTCAGGCAGGTTACAGGTGAATGTCAGAAAGGCAGGTTACAGTAAAATGTCAGGCAGGCAAGTTACAGGGGAATGTCAGGCAGGTTACAGGTGAATGTCAAGCAGGTAACAGGTGAATGTCAAGCAGGTAACAGGTGAGTGTCAGGCAGGTAACAGGTGATTGTGTGGAGGATTACAGGTGACTTCGTATATATAAAAGTTTGTTTTTGTTTAGGCGTTCTAAATATAGAAACAGTTTGAATGATGTCTTGAATTCCTGAGGGCTTTGTGTGTGTTGTGTCAGTTGCTCTAGCTTTATGGCGTCATTTGTTAGCTCTGACTGGTCACACACTGGTAGAGATGTGTTGTATCGGGTGGTGTGTTCGTGAATGTTTGGCTGACGTGTAGTGTGTTCGTGAATGTTTGGCTGACGTGTAGTGTTTTCGTGAATGTTTGGCTGACGTGTAGTGTTTTCGTGAATGTTTGGCTGACGTGTAGTGTTTTCGTGAATGTTTGGCTGACGTGTAGTGTTTTCGTGAATGTTTGGCTGACGTGATGTGTTTTCGTGAATGTTTGGCTTACGTGATGTGTTATTTCTACATGGTGAAATTAGTCAAGCTCGACTGGTTGATAAAAAAGATAATGTTGGGGTACTGGTGGAGTCGTTGTTGGGTGGATTTAAGGTGGATGGTGGAGTGGATTACAGGATTGATGTAGGGATGGATGTTCTGATAGGTGTTGTGTTGTTGTGATGTTGGTTGTGGTGGGTGTTGTGGTAGATATTTGGGTTTATGTTGGGGTATATGTTGGGGCATATATATATAAATATATATATGTATATATATATATATATATATATATATATATATATATATATATATATATATATATATATATATATATATATATATATATATATGTATATGTATATATATATATATATATATATCTTAGGACCACGGATTTATTCTACCATGGGGCCCCTCTCATCTGAATCCCCCCTTGCCCCTCCCCCTCACCTCCTGAAGGTCCTCTCATCTGAATCTCCTGTTGTGATAGGTGTTGTGTTGTTAGTTGTGGTGGGTGTTGTGTTGTTAGTTGTGGTGGGTGTTGTGTTGTTAGTTGTGGTGGGTGTTGTGTTGTTAGTTGTGGTGGGTGTTGTGTTGTTAGTTGTGGTGGGTGTTGTGTTGTTAGTTGTGGTGGGTGTTGTGTTGTTAGTTGTGATAGGTGTTGTGTTGTTAGTTGTGGTGGGTGTTGAGGTAGATGTTTGGGTTGATGTTGCGATATATGGTTGGGGTGGATGTTGTGGTGAATGTTGTGGTAGATGTTGGAGTGGATGTTGTTGTAGATGTTTGGGGTGGATGTTGAGATAGGATATTATTGTGGTATTTGGGGTATATGTTATGACACCTCATCCATCGTATGCAAGGCAAAGTAATTATACCCGATACCAATTAGCCCCGAGTGTGGCGGTAATCAGTGAGGTACACTACTGAAGTATGCTGTAGCTTTTCCCCTTGAAATTGAATCAGTCCGTTTGTTATTTGATAACCATAATTTTTTACATAATTCTATTACCGAATCTTTGGTTTAACTTACCAGGAAGTAAAACTGTGTCGAGTGATCTCCCCTGAACGTATATTACACCTTTAACACTGAATAAAATAGCTTAGAAAAAATTCTGTGGCGTCGCGAGTTCGGGTGTCACCAGGTGCGGGAACTCATGGTGTCACATTCCCCCCCCCCTAACGACCCACTCAACCACTCAAAATTCCTACGTTATATATATATATATATATATATATATATATATATATATATATATATATATATATATATATATATATATATATATATATATATATATATATATATATATATATATATATATATATATATATATATATATATATATATATATATATATATATATATATATATATATATATATATATACATATATATATATATATATATATATATATATATATATATATATATATATATATATATATATATTTATATATATATATATATATATATATATATATACAAAGTTCTACATAGGCCTATACATATAGTTGCAATTGGTGGACATCCCCTTCCCAGTTTGCATGATGACGTTAATTTGTGCGCACGATCCACCTATTAATTCATCGTTATTTTCCTTAGTTTTTTTGGTTTTGGTGTCATACCTCTCCTGTCTTTGCCTGACTTATCTGTTATTAAAAATACTCAACAAGCATTTTTTCCTCTAAATTTGCAGTTGGTTAAACCCCCCTCCCAATTGTACGACTAACTGAATATAGATAATCAAGGTGGGTATTTATATTCAGTTATTCGTACAGGTGGATTATCTTATTAATCATTTATTGAACTGCAAGATAATTTTTCTTCTATATATATATTGTAATTTTTTGTCAAGGATCACCCTCCTAAATGGTGTCACCCTGTGCGGTCCACATACTCCCACAGCCGTACTATGGACAGCCCCATGGCAATAATTCCATGCTTGCTTCTGCCCAAGTGCCGACTTTTTTGAATATCGTTGAATGGGGGAATGTTATTTTATTAAAAATGCATTTCCCTATCTGTCAGTAATCATTAATTTGACCTGAGTGACGTAGTTTTTAACACGTTTTTATTAACTCAGCTTCGCGTTTGTGTGTTTGTTGTTAAAATTGACATCGAAAATTAGCCATCTTCTGATTGCTCTATAGATCTGAAATTTGGCATGCAGGTTACTTTTGCCTAACAATTTCAGATGCAATCATAAAAACTAGCAATTAGAGACCGTAATTAGCTTAATTTAATTACGCCCAAAGGACCATAAAATTGAGGACATGATTTCTAAAGATACCGACAAGACTGGAGGCTTATTGACACAGTTACTTCGTCCCCAATCGATGTGAGCGCGCTGGCCGTGATCGTATAGTGGTTAGTACTTCTCGTTGTGGCCGCGACAACCCAGGTTCGAATCCTGGTCGCTCAAGATTTTTTTAGTCCGTGTATTTATAAACACTTAGTCAATTCATACTTAATCAAGTCATTAGATAAAGTAGAAAATAAACTATATAAAAAACTTTTTTAAAAACCACGTTTTTCATGTGTAGCAACGGACTAAAAAGGAGAAAATAAAATACTTAAAAAAAACTTTTTAAAAAACCACGTTTTTCTTGTGGACTAAAAAGTAGAAAATAACTATTTACATACATTTGATGACAAAAAACGTGGGTCGGGCAGATGGGTCGGGAAATTTGATGGTGAACGTACCCACGTTTTTTGTCATCAAATGTATGTAAATAGTTATTTTCTACTTTTTAGTCCACAAGAAAAACGTGGTTTTTTTAAAAAGTTTTTTTTAAGTATTTTTTTAGTTATTAGCTTCCTACGGTATCGGAGGGGGGGGGTATCGTCCTTAACGACCTACTGATATTGTTTTCAAGCAAATATATTCAGTGGCAGCATTGGTATTGTCGAATTCACAAATTATGAATTATTAAAATGAAGAAAAGAAAACTAAATAGCGACGTATTATACGCCGCGGGTCGGCTCGTTTGATATAATACTCGTATAAGACATTTCGTCAACATAATTGAAACAGTACTCAAGTTATCGTGTTCACATACATAGACATACAGACAAAATTGCAAAACAAGATTTTTCCAAAATTTTTACATGATTACTTCATAGCCACATTACATTATGGACGGCCGCAGTACTTTTTAGATGGCCGCTGTACTTTCTAAACGGCCGCTGTACTTTCTAGACGGCCGCCATACTTTCTAGACGGCCGCTGTACATTATGGACGGCCGCCATACTTTCTAAACGGCCGCTGTACTTTCTAGACGGCCGCCATACTTTCTAGACGGCCGCTGTACATTATGGACGGCCGCCATACTTTCTAAACGGCCGCTGTACTTTCTAGACGGCCGCCATACTTTCTAGACGGCCGCTGTACATTATGCACGGCCGCCGTACTTTCTAGACGGCCGCTGTACATTATGGACGGCCGCCATACTTTCTAGACGGCCGCAGTACATTATGCACGGCCGCCGTACTTTCTAGACGGCCGTTGTACTTTGTGGATGGCCGCCGTAATTTGTGGATGGCCGCCGTAATTTGTGGATGGCCGCCGTAATTTGTGGATGGCCGCCGTAATTTGTGGATGGCCGCCGTAATTTGTGGATGGCCGCCGTAATTTGTGGATGGCCGCCGTAATTTGTGGATGGCCGCCGTAATTTGTGGATGGCCGCCGTAATTTGTGGATGGCCGCCGTAATTTGTGGATGGCCGCTGTACCTCAGCAGTGAGTGATCTGTGTGATGGATAAAATTAATATATTTAATAGGATCAGGGGGGTCGCAAGGGGGGGGGTGCGGACCGCACCGGGTGACACCATTTAGGGGGTGACACCAAGGCAAAAAATAGCAAAATATATAGAGAAAAACGTGAGGGGGGGGGGGTGCAAATCGAAAGTTTGAGGGGGCGTGCAAATCGAAAGTTTGAGGGGGGGTGCAAATCGAATATTTGTCCCCGGGAAGGGTCGCTACGACTCTGGGGGGTGACACCATTAAGTGCCGCACCGGGTGACACCCGACCTCGCTACGCCACTGAATAGGATATATATATTTAAAAAAAATAAGAATGTAATTAACACTTTTTTATGTCACATTTAATCGTCCTTTGAAAATTAGTACATTTAATAGGATATATTTTTTATAAAAAAATAAGAATGTAATCAAAACTTTTTTATTTCACATTCCATAGCCACCTAGTCTTGACCTAAGTATCAATGTTGAACTCTATCCTTCCAGTAAAAGTGGACAACATTTCGCTCTGAACCATGTCGAACGAAGGAATAAATATATTAAAGCTAGGACGTTAAAGATTGATACTCGAGTTACCTGGAGATAAATCGAAAACACCCAAAGTAAAGAAATTAAAAAAAAAACTTGCACTAATGAGGAAACTGGCAGGAACAGACTGGGGAGCAAATCATCACATCCTGAATAAAAACCTACACCAGCTATGTGAGATCTACGTTAGAATATAGTGCTTCGGCTTGGGGGTCAGCAGCTAAAACAAACATTAGCAAAATTGACAAAGTTCAGAACATTGGTTTGAGAATAATGACAGGAGCTATGAAAGCAACACCGATAAAAGCAATGGAGGAAATAGCCGCTCTTAGCTTAATAGAAGAAAGAAGAGAATCAAAAATCCTCACACAATACACTAAGCTAAAGGCCCTGGAAAGCCATAATCTAAAACACATAGTTCAGAAGCCTAGTCCATCAAACAGACTTTAAAGAACAAGTTTTATCAAAGTCTAAAAAAAATATGACATAGAAAACATTCCTGAAACAATCAAAACTCAAAACCTCTCCCCGCCGTAGATCTTTCACCGTACATTAAGTTACTCAATAAATACCATAGAAAAAATATGACTACGATCATGAAGAATTAAAGAAAAGAACATAAGCATATTAAAGAACAGTTCTCCAGGATAATGTTATTCACAGAGTCCAGTGCTGGGTCTGGCCGGGACGGCTAGTACAACACTAAAAGTGAGAACGAAGAAGAAAAAGTATGAATAGATCAACCACATCCACACCATACTACAGGCCAACCACATCCACACCATACTACAGGCCAACCACATCCATACCATACTACAGGCCAACCACATCCACACCATACTACAGGCCAACCACATCCACACCATACTACAGGCCAACCACATCCACACCATACTACAGGCCAACCACATCCACACCATACTACAGGCCAACCACATCCACACCATACTACAGGCCAACCATATCCACACCATACTACAGGCCAACCATATCCACACCATACTACAGGCCAACCACATCCACACCATACTACAGGCCAACCATATCCACACCATACTACAGGCCAACCACATCCACACCATACTACAGGCCAACCACATCCACACCATACTACAGGCCAACCACATCCACACCATACTACAGGCCAACCACATCCACAACATACTACAGGCCAACCACATCCACACCATACTATAGGCCAACCACATCCACACCATACTACAGGCCAACCACATCCACACCATACTACAGGCCAACCACATCAACACCATACTACAGGCCAACCACATCCACACCATACTACAGGCCAACCACATCCACACCATACTACAGGCCAACCACATCCACAACATACTACAGGCCAACCACATCCACACCATACTATAGGCCAACCACATCCACACCATACTACAGGCCAACCACATCCACACCATACTACAGGCCAACCACATCCACACCACACTGCCCATTATTCACAGACACCTGTTACACGTGAACTCTTTGCCCCTCAACATTGTCATTGTCTAAAATATTTTAAAACAATCTGGCAAACTTTAATCGTCCTTTGAAATTTACAAATGTCAAACTGCGTTAGATATTAAACGATGAGCATCAAAGAAACCACTAAACCATAGAAAAATAGGGAACAGTGCATTATACTCCACTCTCCCCGTAAATTACCCTGGACATTCCCCCCCTCCCCGACATTACCACCCGGTGTAATTATCCCTTGTCAATTACCCCCAGCATAGTAGGAAATAATCCCCCCCCCCACGGAGATTGATTAAGGTACAGCTAAGGTTAGGCTTAATGTTAGGGTTACGGTTACGTGGGTAGGCTGGGGGTGAGGGTGGGGTGGTTGGAAGGTGTGAGGTGTGAGGTGTGCGGTGTGTGTAAGAGTAAGAGTAAGTGGGAGGCTGGGGTAGAGTGGTAGGAAGATGTGAGGTGTGAGGTGTGTGTACAAGTAAGTGGAAGGCTTGGATGGGGTGGGAACAAGTGAGCGTGTGGGGACTGTAGTGAGTAAGATAGAGACAAGTGTGATAAAATAGCATATGTTATCACTGCCTTATATGGTATATGAATATAGTCTGGGTCAACCTAGCTATTGTACATATCAGCGAGTGGTTTCACAATAATAGTAACGCGTGCAAAACAGATATGACGTGTGCAACACATGAACGTGTCGCTTATAATACTAATCTTCTCGTTGAGCTCACAGTTTGAAGTCCAACGTACCACAGTTCATGAAAGTATTTCTTTCTTTCGACACTTTACCTCGTGCATATCTTAAAGGTACTACCATATCATGTAAGTATTTCTGTCGACACTTTCTCTCGTGCATATCTTAAACGTACTACCATATCATGTAAGTATTTCTTTCTTTCGACACTGTATCTCGTGCATATCTTAAACGTACTACTATATCATGTAAGTATTTCTTTCTTTCGACACTTTATCTCGTGCATAACTAAAGCTTGCGTTGACAGAGGCAATCATCTTTATACAAGATTTGTTACCTATGGTTGTGATACACGTCTCCTGTTTATAGTTCGGACTCCAGTCCGAAGGACGTGTCTGAGTTCACTAACCACTAACAAGTACCGGACTCACGAAATTAAAGACAGCTGGGTGTAGCGCTGAAGACAACAGCCCTTTATAAACCTTGATATCACCCATCTTGTCTACCCAAAAGTCTCGAGTTCAGAACCCGCCGTGACGGTGGACGAGCCTAATTCAATTTACCAAGTATAATACCTCAATCTTATCCTTAGGATATCGCACTGTTTAAAACCTACGTAGGCGTTATAGCGCTCACGGGATAACCAGAGGAGCCAAGGTGCACCCTGCTTCAGTTTAGTGAACGAACATACGCCCCGTTTTATCCATAGTCTATCACACTGTTGAAAACGAACGAAGGTGCCATAACTTCCCAAAGTTTCGTGGCTATCAGATGAAAGGTGTCGTAATACATAAAGACAAAAGAAAAAATAAACAATCACACAAAACACACACATACATTTCATTATATATATATATATATATATATATATATATATATATATATATATATATATATATATATAAATATATATACATGTACAACCATTTTAACTTACCGATGCAACTAGATAAGCCTACGTGCAAAACATTTGAACTATAGTTTTGTATAGAAGTATTCAGGCAGAAAACTACCAGGCTCAGAGGCTTAGCGACCCTTCCCGGCGCCCGGGGACAAACTTTTCGATTTGCACCCCCCCTCAAGATTTTGATTTGCACCCGCCCCCCCCCCCCCCCCCCCCCCCTCAAACTTTCGATTTGCACCCCCTCGACCTTTCAATTTATTTTTCCAACCCATTTTGGCGCCCCCTAAGGTCGGCGCCCGGGAACATATGTCCCCCCCCCCCCCCCGCCCCCCCGCCCCCCCCCCCCCCCCCTCGCTACGCTACTGACCAGGCTTTGACAGCCCACAATATCTGACATACAAGAGAGTACCAAGTGTTCTAAAATGCATTAAAATGTTTCCATTCTCTTCAATACTCAACCACGTGAAGTAAGTAACCTACACGAACTTATGCTATATTTATAGAGTATGCAAACTGTCTAGCTTTGTTTAGGTTTATCAAAAAACAATAGACTAAAATCATACCATTTATATAATAATGCTGCGTAATAATTTAACCGATCCTTAACTTAGCACTATTTACAATCTTACACCAATATTTTAAGATGAATTAATATGTTAGAGATTTCCTTCTGTTTCCCTTGTATGATTTTTTAAATTATGTTGATTGGATAAAGTAGTCTGAACAGATAGAATGGGGTGTGTGTGTGTGTGTGTGTGTTGATGGGGGGGGGGGGGGTTAAGCCCAACGCCTGCTGATTCGAGGGTTTAAATCTTGGATCCAAGTTGGACTTATCCAAGAGTTATTTTTAGAAATTTAACGGAACAGGCCTAGTTACCCCGTACAATCCACGCACACATTTTACACTTTAATTATTACATAACAATATTTCTTTTCTAGTGTCTGAGTTGAATTATGTCAACGCATGAATCATCAGAGCTGTGTAAATAATGCCATAAATACCATCACAGATTGCTTGCGTTATCCCATTCATCTTTTGTAAAGAACACACAGCAGAGGGGCTTTGGTCTAGATTGTTTTTTTGCCACGCGTTTTGATAAGAGACACCAATAGTACCACGATCTTGGGGACTACTAATCCGGCACTCCCCATTATTAGCAGTAGAGTGATGCATTTATAATTAGATCATTTTATGGTGATTACATTTTAATTTTATAGCTTACTAGCCGTCCCGGCCAGGCCCTGCTCTGGCTTCTGTGAAAAACCCTTCTGTTAAAGACCATCACCTGTGTGTTTAGTAATCATCATAAACCCGGCATTGCCCACCCAAACCACAACCAACCAAAACCAAAACAACAAAACGCAAACATAACGCTAACACAATTACAAATACAAACGAAAACAAAAACTTACAACAAACCAACCACAACCACAAACACCAATACGAACACAAAGAAAAAAGCAAACGAAAACAAACCAAATCCAAACACAAAACCAACCACAAACACAAACCCAAAGAAAAAAACAAACGAAAAAGCAAACGAAAACAAACCAAATACAAACGCAAAACCAACCACAAACCCAAAGAAAAAAAACACAAAAGAAAAAACAAACGAAAACAAACCAAATCCAAACGCAAAACCAACCTCAAACACAAATACAAACACAAACCCAATGAAAATAAAACACAAACGAAAACGAAAAAAGAAAGAACAAAAACGAACCAAATCAAAACGCAACCACTAACGCAAACCCAACCTAAACACAAAGAAAACACTAACGCGAATATAAACGCAAAGTGCTCACGGGGCTGAATCGCCTACTTCAACTTAATAAACGACTATAGTACCCCAACTTATTCATAGTCTTTTGCACTCACTTTAATGAACGTAGGCGCGAAACCGAACACGGGAGGCCCGGGACCCCAAAAAGCACCCTGTCTGGGCGCCAGAGGACGCACCATGACGTCACCGCCTGATTGAACTTAGTAAACGCCTATAGTGCATAACTTATTTATAGTCTTTTGAACTCACGCGAACGTAGATACCATAGCGTACACCGGAAGGCCCGGGGCGCCAAATAGCACCCTGTCGGGGTGCCGGAGGACGCCCGGATTTGATTCACTTAAAGACTATAGTAACCTTTCTTATCCATAGTCTATCGCACTGTTTAAAACAAAATTATGCAGCATAGCGCTCACATGATAGCCCAGGGTGCCAAATCAAACCGTGCAGGGGCGCCGGCGGACGCGCCTGTTTCAATTTAGTGAACAAAAATGATAATACTCCAAGCTTATCCGTAAATGGAAAGAAATAAACATATAGGATTTGTAGGACCTGGCTTATTAAATGTTATTGATTTAAAAAAAAATTATTGAACAGTATGTTCAGTGTATATAATAAATAAAAGGCAGTGTTAAAAATACCTAACGACATTGCACTTAATCAATCCCCGCTAATTATGTAATTATTTTTTTTTCTTAACACCAAAAACAAAGTAATAATAAAATGTAAATTCTTTCTTCTTAAGAATTTTTTTTTTATTAAAGGGAAGTAACTGTGCAGTCAATACATTTCCGACACAATTTTAGAAATTTTATAAACGTCGATACACTTTTTAAAAATTTTATGTCGCGTTCATAATTGAAAATTATTCTTCTAAGTAAATAGAGTGAAAATTGTTTTTAAAGACTTTCAATGGTAATTTTTTGACTCGTAAATTTAGACTATGAGCACGATAAAAAATCTAACACTTAAATCCGTAGAAGTGTCAACGACAAACTTTTTTGATTTTTGCCACACGTTACAGAACTGAGCTTTATATATTAGATTTTTATACTTAAATTATGACACTTTTTTTTAGTTAACAATGTCAAACAGCTTGTTGGTCTGTCTGACGGCGATCTGCTTCTGCCTCTCTCTGCCCCCGCATGCCGTGTCTGGGGTAGGAGAACCAGTACAGCCTAATGCCCACTCGCTGGAGCAGCGGTCTATTGCAGGGACTGGCGACGGCGATGTTCCAACATCGAAAAGAGATGCCGCCGATGACCGAAATACGTTGGATACATTTATTGGAAAAACTCGCAGTAACCCAATGGCTGGTTTGACTTTCGATGACTTGGCGAGAATTCAGAAAAACAGAGATGCCATCCGATATTACATGGAACAAGGTGGAGAATTTACTACCACAAAAAGAAAAACCTAATAAAAATAAAAATAAATTAAGCAATATGCTTGAGAGAATACACATGTATAGAAATACAATCTTTGCATACATGTATTAAAAATAAAGTTGTCTTCAGGTGTTAGTTATTTTTTCTTTATTGTTCTGTGCTTTCTTTTAGAAGGCCAATGATTGATGTCCTTAAGATGAACTCCTATAAATGTCTTTTACTTGATACTTGGTATACGTG